CATTGTAAAGGAAGTGCCCCCCCCCCAGCCTAGCTGTGCCTGGCTACAGGGATCCCCGGGGATCGCTCTTCAGGCGTGGCTGGAAGCAGGCCTCCTGGCAGCGCCAGCTGGTGGCCGTGTTCCGCTCCACACCCTGGAGCAATCAGCCCTTGGACGTGTGGGTGGAAAAGAGACTTTCCCAAAAGGCCCTTTCTAACTTGGCAGCTCTGCTCCCAGCCTGGCCTGGGTGCGGGAGGATGGGTTGACCTGGCAGCCCCAGCTTGACAGAGCCAGCAGTTCTGGGAGCTGGATTCCAGTCCGGCTGTGCATCACCAACACAGCCATTAACTAAGCTCTGACTGCCACTGTGGCCAGCTTGAGCTGCCCCCGGCAGTGCAGGGTGGAACGTCCGGGGCTTGTCCTGTACCTGCAAGCACTTCCAGCCCTTGGCTTCCCCTTGCTGGGATTCCTGGCCTGGAGAGGGGGCTCAGGCTTGCCAGTGCATGCTCGTGGGAATCCTGGTTGGGAACTGCGCAAGGAGGGGAGGAATGAGTGTGTCTTGGAGGAGCATCCCATGGGGGCTGCACTCCAGGTGCCCACTCGCCTGCCGACAGAGATTTTCATTAGCGTGTCCGTTCATCCCACACACCCGCTGCTGATATCCTCGCTCCCCGCCCCCGGGCGTCTCAGGCTGCACACGGGCCCCAGGCCCTCTCGCCCAGCTTGGCCTGAGATGGATCTGAGCATGTCTTCATGCATGTGTCCCGGCCACTTGCTGCCTTAGTAGGTTAGCTGGCTGGTTAGCTGGTTAGTTACTGACTGTTTGAGAGAGGGTTTTATTTCCTCCAGGGAAATCCTCCATGCAAGGGGCAAGCCCTGTTCTGCGGGGTTCAAACGGTGCCTCTCGTGTAGAGAGGCTACCCCGGTCGGTGACGGATGCTCTAAGTGCATTTGCTGCCTTGGAGAGTCTCACATCTTGCAGAAGTGTCACTCATAGACTCATAGACTCATAGACTTTAAGGTCAGAAGGGACCATTATGATCATCTAGTCTGACCCCCTGCACAGTGCAGGCCACAGAATCTCGCCCACCCCTCTTAGAATAATCCTCTCACCTATGTCTCAGATATTGAAGCCTTCAAATACTTTGAAGGCCCCAACATGCAGAGAGTCCTTCAGCTGTGATCTGTGCCCAATGCTACAGAGGAAGGCGAAAAACCTCCAGGGCCTCTGCCAATCTACCCTGGAGGAAAATTCCTTCCTGACCCCAAATATGGCGATCAGCTAAACCCTGAGCATGTGGGCAAGACTCACCAGCCAGACACCCAGAAAGTTCCCTATAATGAATGGTCAATTAGTTACCAAGATCATGTTATTTCATCCAACCATCCCCTTATCATAGAATCATAGAACTGGAAGAGACCTCAGAAGGTCGTCAAGTCCAGCCCTCCGCTCTAGGCAGGACCAATCCCATCTAAATCACCCCGGCCAGGGCTTTGTCAAGCCGAGACTTAAACACCTCTAGGGATGGAGACTCCACTACTTCCCTAGGTAACCCATTCCAATGCTTCACTACCCTCCTAGTAAAATAGTTTTTCCTAATATCCAATCTGGCCCTCTCCCACCACAACTTGAGATAAATAAATAAATAAATAAACAAACAAGAACACACACAACCCTCACTCACAACACAAGCTCAGCATACAGCAAGAAGCCCCAAGCACAACACCCACTTCTCCCAAACTCCTGTATCTACTTGTCCTCTACCTGGAGAACTCCCCCTCTAAAGCCTCACTCAAACAGAGGGGGAGGAGTCAAACAGAGGGGGAGGAGTCACGTCTGTTTAGCCTTCCATTCCTGGGGCCGAAAGAACCGGGAACCACGCTCTGACCGTTAATGACAGCGTGCCCCCCTCACCCCACTCGTGCAGCCGTCCAGGAGAACACCCCTGGGCATTCAATACCCCTGGGCATTCATTCCTTTGCCCCGGGCCTCTGATTCTCAGAGTGGTGAACAAAATCATCCAGGACCAGGCCAGAGTTATCCTACTAGCCCTGACGTGGCTGAGGCATGCTTTGCCTACCGCTTCGCCTCGGCGCTCCGCAGCTCCCCTCCCAGGATGGTGGGCCCCGGCTGCATCCGTTCTGCGCGTTCCTTGCCTCGAGGAATGGCTCCTTGGTTTGCAGGGCGTCATTGGCTTGCTCTGCAGAGCTGCAA